TCTATGAAATGGCTGGGTGGCTCTCTTAATCTGGATCAACTGGTCTCTGGTGGGCTCTACCATGTATCTATGATGGCATTTGGACTGGCAGTTGGATGATTTAGGATCTAAGATGACCTCACCATGTGTCTGGTTGTTGTCAAGCTATCCATCAAGAGAATAAGAGTGAAGTCTCTCATCTTCCAAGAGGGGTGCCTGGGTGGCTCAGTTGGTTAAGCGTCCGACATCGGCTCAGGTCATGATCTCATGGCTCGTGAGTTCGAGCCCTGCACCAGGCTCTGTGCTGACAGCTCAGAGCCTCCCCCCCCTCCCCCTAGCCCCTCTCAAAAATAAATAATAAACATTAAAAAAAATTTTAAGTGGATGATCTAATAAGAGGTGATAGCCTGATTAATGTGTTGGCTAAGGATTGTTATATTTGCCACCACTTCATCCACATTTCAGCATTTTTCCAACAAGCACCTTATTAAAGCTTATCCAGTATTGGTATGACTGGCATGTGTTAGTCCAGATCTTGGTAGAACTGATTGGTAGAACTTGCTGATTCTTTTTTGTTTGTAATGAATGGAGTGTTAACGATGGTGGTGGTAGTTCAGAGCTTTATTCTAGAAGTCTTCATCTTTATTTCTTCAGACACATTTGAGGACTTAGAAACAAGTGGCGGATGACAATGCTGGATGATTACTTAGTACATACCTAACATTTATGTATGTTGAAGGTAAACTGAAAAACACCCCTTGAGATCAGAGACCATGACTTTCTCTGTGTCCTTGGCAAGTAGCACAGGGAAGAGCACACAGAGCACATGTTGGGGGAGCCTAGTATGTGCTTATTATATATATCTACAGCCATGTTCATATCCCATTAAGGCAGTGATCACACTCATATACTAATGGTGACCAGATATTGGCAATATGGGATCACTAGAGAGTGATAGGGAATGGAGCCAACTGGAGAACTCATGCCCCAGGTAACGCTGGTGGGTCTGTCCATTTGACACCACATGGGAATGTTCATTGTTGCCAGATTATTCCAGTTTTTGTCAGTTTTGTTCCAGCTGTAATGTCAGATGTGCATGTAAACTTTCTTGATTTTATTTTTTTAAGTTTATATATTTATTTTGAGACAGACAACGTGAGTTGGGAGAGGGGCAGAGAGAGTGAGAAAGAGAGAGAATCCCAAGCAAACTCTGCACTGCAGAGTCCAATGCGGGGCTCTAACTCATGACACCTGAGCCAAAACCTAAAGCCATATGCTTAACCGACTAACCCACCCAGCTGCCCCTAATTTAATTTTTTAGAGATTTGTTTATTTACTTAAGTAATTGCTACACCCAATGTGGGGCTCAAACTCATGACCCCAAGATCAAGAGTTACATGCTCTACTGACTGAACAATCCAGGAGCCCCACTTCTCTGATTTTAAAACATTTTGTGTCAGATCAAACAAGTCTTTTGCCTGATCAGGTAAATCTGACCCATGGCTAGCCAATGTGTCACTCCCTACATTAAGCACTGGTTGGCACCTCTATATTGCATCACAATTATCTTGAAGGCCCAAAGAGGAAGGGGGCCATAGAATAAGGCAGAGATGGAGCAGTGAGATGATAAGAGAGGCAGGACTTCAAGAAAGATGGATAGTTGTTTATTTCAGAGGTCAAGGAAATGAGAATAAGAAAAGGCCACTTGAAGGGCACCTGGGTGGCTCAGTTGGTTAAGCATCCGACTTCGGCTCAGGTCACGATCTCATGGTTCGTGGGTTCAAGCCCCACGTCGGGCTTTGTGCTGACAGCTAGCTCGGAGCCTGGAGCCTGTTTCAGATTCTGTGTCTCCCTCTCTCTCTGACCCTCCCCTGTTCACACTGTCTCTCTTTCTCAGAAATAAATTTTTTAAAAATTAAAAATAAAAAAAAGGAAGAAAAGGCCACTTGATTCAAATAAGTTATTTGGTACAACAGTCTTTCCCCGGCTATGTTCTTGGAAGGAAGGAAGGAAAGAAGGAAAGAGTACAGGAGAGGAGAGGAGAAAAAAGAGAAGAAAAGCAAAGAAAAGCAAGGAAAAGCAAAGCAAAGCAGAGAAATCCATGGTCAAATAACATACATGAGAACCACTCCAAACACTCAGTTAACAAAATAAAGTAGATTTCTTTGGCCCTTTTCTTTACTCTGTCTTTAATATTCTAATATGCAATGCAAAACTTCAAAAGGAGAAACATGTACTGAGTTTTTCAGTGATCAAGGAGTCCTTATGTCATACAGTTGCTCTAGATATAATGATCTGAGGAAAATGTTTAGGGAAACCTGGATGAGGGACTGAATGAGACATTGGGAATCTGAAGGAGTGGTGTGGAAACTGGAATGCACAAGGTAACGAGTGAGAACATAATGCGCCAGTGGAGCAGTGTGGCACATAAACAAAGTAGATAAACCCATTAGTACCCAAGAACTGCCAGCATATCAATCTTTGTAAAATCTTCTTAGTGTCATTCCTTTGATAAAAACAAATAAGAAAAAAAAAGTGAAGCATTCCCCACCTCTGATGGATTAAACCTCTTTTCCTGGCCTTCAAGTCTCCTTTATCAGGCCAACTGACCTCTCTAATTCCCCAATTATGCTCTACACTCACTCTTTTCTCTAAATACCCTGCTTTGCTCACTGTCTTTAGGGCATTTACTGTTTTCCAGCCTCTTCACCCTTGCTCACCATGTGAGTTGACTCCCCCAGCTGCTCTGATTAGAACTGTGCTTGTTTTCTAAGGCACAGCTCATATCTGCTTTTCCTTGGAAGACTCCTTTAGCCATCAAAGCTCACAGTGGGTTCTTTTCTCTGAACTTCTAGAGCATTTAAATTTCTGAAGGACTTATTTGAGACATAGTGTGTTGGAGATTGCCAGTATGACTTGGAACTGAGAGAAGAAAAGCATGTCCTGATATCTGCATCTCTCAACCTCAGTTTGCCCTCAGAATTCATTCAGATAAGATTAAGATGATATTATTCACCAGCACATAACAGCAAGGGTATAAACCCCATCAAGGTGAATTTCATAGACCATATTTTGTTATTATATAACCACCTGCTATTCCTTGAGAATAGAAGAGTCCATTCTCTTCTTTCCCAATAGTAGTGGGTGCCGTTTGTAGACACTAGGCTGATCACTTTCCATGTATTGTCTTGATGAATCCCAGAACATCCTAAGAAAAGGTGTTAGTATCCTCACTTTAAAGAAGAGGAAGCTTTCTCCAAACATTCAAGTCAGCTTGCTCATGCTTATGATGCTCTTTCTAGCTGGTCAAGGCAGAGCCAGCTGCACAACTCCACATACCTGATACCAAAGCCTGAGCTCAATCTGTCTCAGCATACCATCCCCAAGGCTACATTGGCCACCAGAAATTTAATGACAGAGAATTAAAGCTAAAGATTTAATACTCTTCTTCAAGTGGCAAGTACATACCAGTATGCTCCAGAAGGCAGAGTAGAAATCTAGTTAGAGTCAGTACAGTTTGAACATCTGGGGGTGTTCTAGGTACATTCTACAGTCTCTTAAGGACCTAGCATAGCTCAGTGATTGTCCTCTCAAGTGCCAGTGAGAGGACAGTTAAGGCGGGATTTGGAGTGCGCAGCATCACAGGGGCACATTCACAGCCTGAAGGACATTCAAGGGTCTTCCCTTTCTTGGGCACTCATGGATGTCATGAGAGGGCTTGACCTCCATTTTCACCCTACTATGAGCTTTTTGCTTATCTGTCTCCATACTAGACTGTGAACTTTCTGAGAGGAAAAGGTATCATATTTACCCAGACCTGACACATAACTGGTATATAAACACAAAATAACTATTTGTTGAATGAATAATAAGGCAAGGTGCTCAAGGTGGCATAATGGAGACAACACATTTCAGTCAACTTTTATTCCACCATCAGAAAACTAGATTAACTCACCCATGTTGTATTTCTTCCTTATTACCTATACACTACCCAGGAGTCTCAGGTTTCCCAGAGACCTTGACAAAACCCAAAACCTCCCTGCAATAATGTCAAACCTCACAATTTCAGGTCTCATCTTCTAAACTGGATTGTGCAATTTTTCAGGAAAGGAGGCATGTGTTGCTTCTTGTACATGCTCCACATCTTTCAGCACGCTGCCTCCACAGAGCAGGATCTATATAAATGTTGAACAACTGTATTGGAAGTATGGTTGGAAGCCCATCCTAATAGTGCAGTCTCCTTGCAGTACTCTTCTGGCTCATTCAGTGGAGACTGTGACGCTTGATCCAGGGTTATGAGTTCAAGACCCACATTGGGTGTAGAGATTACTTAAAAATAAATCTTAAAAAAAAAATTGTACAATCTCCTTGAGATAATTTTTTTGGTGAATTTAGGTGATAAAGGGGAGAGGAAATTAGGATAGTGACAGAGACAGAGCAACAAGAGTGGGCAGGAACTGTCAATGCATTGGAGGTGGGAGGTGAGAAAAGATGAAGAGGGAAAAGGATTCAAAGACTTTGGACCAAACTGATGGATTGAAGGATTGTGCCCAAGAGAGAAATTTAGAACTTCTCTTTCTCCATGATCATCTCATCCTCACTTCAGTTTGGGCATAGAGAAAAGATTCTTCATGAATGTCAGGTTGAAGTGTTCCTTGGAGGCAGACAAACCTGGGGCAGTCAGACAGGCAGGAGAGTCCAAAAGGACAAAAAGGAAAGGTTTGACTTTGTCACCCTGCATAAGAGCTTTGCTCTGCTAAGGAGGAAGAGGAGAAATTTGAGCTGAATATATTTTTGGTTGGAACAACTTGTAAGTACTCTGTTTGATAGCACGGTTGTTTGAATGACCGATTTCATAACTGCACATAGCTTTTCCAAATAAATGGTGTCTGTAGAATGTTCAGGTTAATTCATGAGTCCAGTGCTCAAGAGTGTTTGCGCTTAGAGCAACTGAGACTTCTTTTTTAATAAGTCATCTTGGCATTTTGTCAACAAACTAATTTGCTTTTCTAAGAAACTAGATTAATACTTCCTGTACTCTGTGCTATTCACAGATCTACAATGCAGTGAGAAGGGGAGAAGAAATAGAAAATACAATTGGATCTCTTCTCCATTTCTTCACAAAGCTCCCAGCCTCTGAAACAGCCCGTGAAAGGATTAGGGTTGGCCCGTGTTTAAAGCAATGTGTCCGAGACACCATATGTGAGTACCGAGCCACCCTCCAGAGGACGTCCATATCTCAGTACATCGCTGGGTCTCTCCTAGAAGCAACCACATCTTTAGGAGCAAGAAGTGGCCTACTCAGTACCTTTGGAGGATCCACTGGACGAATGATGCTAAAAGGTGAGGTCTGAAATTTCACTTTTAATTTTTCATCTTTGAGTGCAGAAAGGAATCTATGTTAACATGTATGCATCTCCTGATGGAAAATTGAGTTCACTTAGAGGCAATTTTAAATAAATAAAAGTTGCTGCCTTAATAGACTATAAAAGGTAGTCCTTTATCAAAATCCTTTCTGGTGTCAACATTCCAAACAACAATCCTTAAGGTTTTGACATTTCATTTCCAAAAGAAGTAAATGGTTTCAAGGCTACCTTTAAATTTTTTTAATTACTCAGATAGAGGGTTTCTCCTAGTGGTAGCCTATGACAGATGTCAATTGCTGTGATAAGATGCTTGTAAACAAGTGTGGTTATATGGTCACAGTGAAAACCAACATGGATGTGGAACAGAGTGAAATATAGTTCTGCCTCTTACACAGAATCAGTAGGTTCATATGGACCAGAAAAGGCCATCTTCCAGGGACTCTCATCTTAACAAACAGGATAGTCAGGCATCCTGCTAAAAAATGAAAGCCAGTGGAAAATGGGACCCATCAGCACCAGAACTTCCTAGCTACTTCCCACAAGTATGCAGACAGGCAGGTCAGAAATGGCAGTGCACCAAAGAACCTTGGAGATCTGTGCACTGCACAGCTGTCACAACCCACTTGGCAGCCGTCCTTGGCAGGAAGCTGCCAGCCAGACAGGGACCATGCAGAGCAACGTTCCACTGCCTGGGGGATGCCAAGAGCTCGATCTGACATCCGGCCATTTCTCTCAAGGAGAGCAGCTATTGTCCCTCTGCAGCAAGCCACAGACCTGTGGCTAGCAGGCTGGTGACCTTCCACCTGGATCCTCAACCACCCTCCCCACACACACACCCTGGGCAGGCCTGACAGAAGTACACACCTCCCTGTGTACCATGTGGGTACCATGTTGCTTTGTTTCCTAAAATAATTTTTTAACTTTTGCAGCGTGGTTATACATAATGAGTGAAGGAAAACACAAGGTGTGTGCTTAGAAAAGCATAGCATAAGGAAACCAAAGGGTTTCATATGTTTTTCTTTTATTCAATCTGTGTTTTGAGGCCCTGCTAGGTGCTAAGTGCTGGATAGGAAACAAAACATAGCTTCTGCCATCATGGAGCTTGTAGTCTTTAGGTGGTAAGCAGTTTCCCCTATGCACAACACTCAGGATTTCTCTACTCTGTTGTGGCTCCTGGTGACTGCCAAGCTTCCGTTCTCCATCTGTGCTCTTCCTGAGAAGTTGGGCTGAGATTGGCATGTGGAGTTGTTGTTGCTTCAAGGCTTGTGACTCTATGTAAAGACCTCATCCTGTGAGTTAATCAACCTGTTTGTCAGATACCCGATCTGTACCCAGCAGAGTGTGTAGGTGTATGGGAGATTCTGATGAAGTACCAGTCAATTTACTTGCCTTCAGGTTCTTTATGAGCCTAATGAGGAGTCCAGATTGTGTGCACCAAGTATTCAAAGAATAATATGATACTGCAGGGAGCTGAGTACTAAATAGTGTGGAAGTGGCTCTAATAGTTTAGAATTTAGAGAAGGAGTTAATGTCCTTTGTGACAAATGGCTTTGCCCAAAACAAACAGAAGTCAACAAAAACCACTTTCTGTCTTCTCCATTAATTGCAAAGAGACAAATCTCCAGGCTCCCCAACCAAGGCAGCTGCCTCCAGTCCTACCCAGACCTTGGGGAAGAAAAAAGGAGGCTGCTAGTTAGTGTGCCTGTTGCCCTGATAGTAACTTTATCTCAGTTGCTATTTGTACTTCCCTTTTCAAATCAGAACCTCAAGGATCAACATTCCCAGATCAGAGATTCATTGGACCATCAACTCATGTGTTATCTTTAAATTGGCAATTTATACAAGAGTTGGGAGTTTCTTTAACTTTCTGTTTTGTAGCTCTTTAATGGTTTTTGATATCCCTCTGTAAGTAGCTTTTGCTGACCTATACAATTAGCTTCTGCCTTGGGCTTCCTTCTGTAGCTCTGACTTGTTCTCTTGGAAACCTTTTCAACTTCAGTGCCCTTTCCTGTAGAGCCTTCAAAATCTGTACATGCCATAGTGAAACATATGTTTATTTTATTTTTTTTATTTAAATGTTTATTTATTTATTTATTTATTTATTTTACAAATAGTTTATTGTCAAATTAGTTTCCACATAACACTCAGTGCTCATCCCCACAAGTGTCCTCCTCCATGCCCATCCCTCCTCTCCCCCACATCCATCAGTCCTCAGTTTTTGTCAGCATTCAAGAGTCTCTCATGGTTTGCCTCTCTCCCTTTCCCCCACCATTTCCCCCCTTCTTCTCCCCCATGGTCCTCCGTCAAGTTCCTCCTAATCCTCCTATACGTGCAAACATATGGTATTTGTCCTTCTCTGCCTGACTTATTTCGCTCAGCATAACACCCTCAAGGTCCATCCATGTTGCTACACATGGCCAGATTTCATTCTTTCTCATTGCCATGTAGTATTCCATGGTATAGATAAACCACATCTTCTTGATCCATTCGTCTGTTGATGGACACTTAGGCTCTTTCCATGTTTTAGCTATTGTGGAGAGTGCTGCTATGAACATTGGGGTACATGTGCTCCTATGCCTCAGCATTTCTGTATCCCTTGGGTAAATTCCTAGCAGTGCTATTGCTGGGTCATAAGGGAGTTCTATTGTTAGTTTCCTGAGGAACCTCCACACTGTTTTCCAGAGGGGCTGTACCAGTTTACATTCCCACCAACAGTGCAGGAGGGTGCCCGTTTCTCCACATCCTCGCCAGCATCTAGAGTTCTCTGATTTGCTCATTTTAGCCACTCTGACTGGCGTGAGGTGGTATCTCAGTGTGGTTTTGATTTGTATTTCCCTGATGAGGAGGGATGCTGAGCATCGTTTCATATGTCTGTTGGCCATCTGGATGTCCTCTTTGGAGAAGTGTCTGTTCATATCTTCTGCCCATTTCTTCACTGGGTTGTTTGTTTTTCAGGTGTGAAACATATGTTTATTTAACATGCAGGGGAAGAAAATACACCCCCAAAAAACCATATAGGCGTTCAAAATCATAGAATGTTTATAGAATCTGTAGGTTCAGCATATTGACTAACTGGGTCTTGGAGTCTGTTGGCCGTATATTCCAGTGAGGGGTCTGGAGCACATGCTGGCTGTGACTTGGTTGTCTGCTTCTTTTCTTGTTCACTATGTGCTCTAGGGCATCGAATTGGCCAATAGCTTTCAGCTCTGTATTGCTAATGAAGATCTCTGGGAAGTGTATAACACAGGCTCAGTTCCCATTTTATAAATGACTTGTATTCCAGAAGTTCATTTCTCAGAAGCTACGTGGAACTTAGAATACTTTCCTAGAGAAATAGTATTAAACATTGTGATTTTGTTTGATTCTAATCCTGAAAAACCTCTTTAACCCATAACACAGTTGAAATCTATATACTTCTCATGGACTAAAGAGAAAAACATGATTATTGAATACTGTGAATCAGCCTCCAAGGAAAAAGCAATACAAAAGGCACTTCTTATTTAAGGATAAAATACACTTCTTAATTAGGGAAAATAAGTTTAATTAAGATGAGTAGAGTTAAAATGAAAGCCTTATGAAGATTTTGAAAAGAACCCTGGGCCATTGTAGACATTTCAGATGTTGGAATCTAGTTCTCTTGTTGTGGATAATTTCATTTCAAAATTCATACCTATATAAAAGAATCAGAAGGTTATTATCCCAGTACTTCCCCTGCCCCTGCCCCTGTTTTTCAAATGGAGGCTTATAAATGGAATGAAGAAGGGAAGAAAGGCAGGGCATGATTTAAATTCTTTTCCCAGAGGAAAAGGGTAAGGAAGAAAATGACTTCTTCAATGAAAAAGGTAATTTTGAAATAAACTAAAAAGAGTTTGGAAAGGTAGAGAAAAGGGAGGAAGGGAAAAGACAAATACTGTTTGATTCCATTTGTATAAGACACTTAGAACAGTCATCATCATAGAGACCAAGGGCTGATGGGGAACAAGGAATGGGGAGTCATTGTTAATGAGTATAGAGTTTCTATTTTATAAGATGGAGGGTTCTGCACAACAATGTGAATGTATTTAATGCCACTGAACTATACACTTAAAAATGCTTAGGATGCTACATTTTATGTTATATGCATTTAAACCTCTCACTATTCTCCCCCAAAAAGAATAAAAAAAATTATTAAGAGAAGATTGACGGATTCCAGCTCCGGCTGGGTCCAGAGGTCCCTGAAGGATGAATGGTGCTGGCGAGGGAGGGAGTGAGAGAGCCACAAGAATCTTTCTGGTCACTAGGCAGGCATCTCTGCCCTGTCATTTTTGGTGTCTTTATTTACAGGTCAAACATTAACATGGCATCAGAAAATGGAATTTTTACAATGGGTAGTTCTCTGTGATAAGATGTGTTTGGAAAATGTACAGAAACAGGTTTTACAGAAGTCTTCTTGCAGAACTGTTCCAATTATAGTGAGGTTGAGTAACTAAGAAAATAACAAGGTGTACACATTTTAATAAAACTAAGATTAAGTCATAGGTTTGTAGATACTCTTATCCATCCTCATCATAGCTGCCAGTGTAAGGGAAGGTGTTTGTGGAATGTAGGCCTTAGGGAAGGGACTGCTATACATCATCAGTTAGCAAAGGTATATGTGGTAACTTATGTTCTGCCCTTATCTGTTCCTTCTCTCTAAGCTAGGCTCTTTGTCTCCAGGCAAGACTTAATTGTCCAGTTATATTCTTTATGGCACCAGAGAGCCAACCATACCTTTAAAGAGTTTAGGTCATTTCCAATACATAGAGTAGCCTCTTCGAGTGCATTTGCCTTGTGTCTAGTTTTATGATTTCTTGAATAGCTAGGGCACAAGAGACATTTTCGGTTAGCTGATTTACTGTTGAGCTGTATGAATCTCTTGGACTAACGCAACCATAGAAACAGAATTGTACACATAAAGGTCAGTCTTTTATGAGTAAGGGTCATTAGCCTGTTCATAGC